ATAAATTTATTTGTATATATTTTATGTATATCATATATTTATATATTTTATATATTATTTATTTATAAATGTATTTGATATATATTTGTAAATGTATTATATATGTATATATATGTGTATTTATATATATATATATATATATATATATTCACTCAAGATACATATATTCTCAAATTTCCATATTGGTATAGGTCTGTTTTGCAGCTTTCTATTCTATTCAGTTGGTCTGTTTGTCCCTGCACCAGTAACACATCTTAATTACTGTAGTTGTATAGTAAGTCATGATATGCTGTAGGTCAAGTCACCTCCACTTTGTTTTTCTTCTTTAAAATTGCCTCAGCTCAGGGAGCGTGGGTGGCTCAGTCAGTTGGGCACCTGACTTCACCTCAGGTCATGACCTCACCGTTCATGAGTTTGAGCCCCATGTCAGGCTCTGTGCTGACCGTTTTGGATTCTGTGCCTCCCTCTCTGCCCCTCACCCCCACTCACACTCCTGTTCTCAAAAATAAATAAACATTAAAAACAATTCTTTTAATTGCCTCAGCTCTTCATGGGTCTTTTTATTTAATATAAATTTTACAATTACTCCATCAATTTCTATGAAAAAAACTTTCATGATTTTGACTGAAATTTCATTGAATTGATAAGATTTATTTTTTGAATATAGAGATTTTTATTATATTAAGTCTCCCTTTCAATGACAATATAGTATATAGTTCCATTTATTTATAAGGTCTTCTTTAATGCCTTTCAAAACATGTTGTGATGTTTTTCATGAAGTTTTATATCTTTTGTTAAACTTATTTTTAGTTACTTTATTTTTTTGGTGTTGCTGTTATAATGGTAAAAAAAGTCATTACATTTATTGTTTCTCATGCATAAGAATGAAATTGATTTATGTATAACTTCTATTTAGCACCTCACAGAATGCTTTTATTCATTTTAATAATTGTCTCCAGATTTTCTTGGATTTTCATTTTTTTCTAGAGAGATTTTTAAGTTATCTCCAAACCTAACCTGGGGCTCAAACTCACAACCCTCAGATCAAGAGCCACATGCTCCACTGACTAAGCTAGCAAGGCGCTCCTTTCTTGGATTTCCTATAGACAATCATATTTCCTTTGATTAATGACATTTTTATTTCTCCACCACTAGTCATGTTTTTCATTTGTTGTTTACTGTGTTTGACAGGAGTTCTAACTCATTGGAGAAGGTAAGTGGTGATAGAAAGCATCCATTGTCTCATTCCTGATTTTGCAGGGAATTGTTCTAATGTTTTACTATGAAATATAATGCTCTAGGTTTTTTATGAATTGCTTATTAAGTGACTTATTTCTATACATTGAAATGAGCATACTCTTTTATATATTTATATGGTGAGTTACACTAGCAGATTTTCTTAAGTTAAATTATCCTTGAATTTCTGAAATAAACCCAACTTGACCATGATTTATTTATTTATACAGAACTGAACTATATTTGTTAATAGTTTCAGATTTGTGCTTTGTATCTGGATTTTTCATATCTATACTGGTTGTCTATTTTTGGTATCAAGGTTAAACTAGCCTTGAAAAATTTGTTGGAGAAAGTTCCCTCTTATTTCTCTAAAAAGTTCTCTAGAAGATTTTATATAAAATTGGAATTATCTGTTGTTTGAAGATTTGGTAGAACTCACTTAGTAAAATCATCTTAGCTTGTATTTGTTTACTTGGTAGGTAAAACTTCAATTGCTGATTCAATTTATTTAATAGATTTTAGAAAATTCAGGATTTCTAGTTCTTCAATCAATTTTGATAGGTTATATTTTCAAGAGAAAATCTGTATTTTGTCTAAATTTTCAGCTTATTAGCACAAAATTGTTTCTGGCATTATCTTATTACCTTTAGATCTCTAATGTATTTTAGTTACATCCTCTTTTTATTCCTCAAATTCTTTATTTGTACCTTTTGTTTTTTCTTTATCAATCTTACCAAAGATTTGCATATTTTTAAAATCTTTACAGGGGCACCTGGGTGGCTCAGTCTGTTAAGCATCTGACTTCAGCGTAGGTCATGATCTCACGGTTTGTGAGTTCAAGCCCTGCATCGGGCTCTGTGCTGACAGCTCAAAGTCTGGAGCCTGCTTTGGATTCTGTGTCTCCTGCTCTCTCTACCCCTCCCCCACTCAGGCTCTGTCTCTCTCTCTCTCAAAAATAAATAAACATTTAAAAGAATTTTAATCTTTACAAAGAAATAGCTATTACTTTATTCCCTCTGTTGTAATGTTTTTGCATCCATTTCATTATTTTCTGTTTTTATCCTTTCAAATTTATTCTGATTTTCTTAAGTTGGATGCTTAGCTGATTAATTTATACCTTTATTTTTTCTTAATATAAGCTTTAAGGTTATAGATAATTTAAGCACTATTTTAGCTTTATGTCGCAAGCTTACCCCCAGGCATACGAATGCTTCAGCCCTACTGCCCATGACCCAAACAGTCACTCTTTGACCATTCTTGATGCAGACTTGTGGCACAGTCCACCCTCAAGAGGACAGAACCAAGAAAGAGGTCAAGTTAGGCCCTGGAAATAGACTTGGAGCTGTTCAGTTAAGAAAGTTTGGGGTTCCAGGTACCTAGTGGGTGGTTTAGAAGTGAAGTATGAAGGCTTATAATTGATACATTCTCTTGACCCTATAGACTACTTATCTTGTAGAGATGAGAACACATAGAAGCAGACCAGAGTGGGGCCCTCTCAAACCAGAGGTTCAGGGCAGGGCCTCTTTTGCCCGTATCCAAAGACAGTACCATATGAGATAGGAACATGCTTCTTTCAAGAGGAAGAATACTGTCACAGCAATCAGACAAGAAAAAGAAATAAAAGGCATCCAGATTGGTAAGGAAGAAATATTAGATTCACTATTTGCAGATGACATGATACTATATATAGAAAACCCTACAGACTCCACTAAAAAACCATTAGAACTAATAAATCAGTTCAGTAAGGTTGCAGGATACAAAATCAATATACAGAAATTCATTGCATTTCTATATACTAATAATGAAGTAGCAGAAAGAGAAATCAAGAAAACAATACCATTTACGATTATACCAAAAAGAATAAAATACCTAGGAATAAACAACCTAGGTGGTGAAAAACCTATACTTTGAAAACTATAAAACATTGGTGAAAGAAATTAAAGACAACACAAATGGAAAGATAGTCCATGCTCATGGAGTGTAAGAGCAAACATTGTTAAAATATCCATACTATCCAAAGCAATCTACACATTTAATGCAATCCCTACCAAAATACCAATAGCATTTTTCACAGAACTAGAATAAATAATCCTAAACTTATATGGAATGACATAAGATCCTGAATAGTCAAAGCAATCTTGGAAAAATATAAAACTGGAGGTATCACAATCCCAGATTTCAAGATATACTACAAAAGCTGTAGTAATCAAAACAGTATGGTAGTGACACAAGAATAGACACATAGATCAATGGGACAGAATGAGTTCAGAAATAAACCCACAACTATATGGTCAATTAATCTTCAACAAAGGAGGCAAGAATGTACAATGGGAAAAAGTCTCTTCAACAAATGGTGGTTGGAAAACTGGATAACTACGTGCAAAAGAATAAAACCAAACCACTTTCTTACACCATACACAAAAATAAACTCAAAATGGATTACAGATGTGAATATGAGGCCTGAGACCATAAAAATCCTAGAAGAGCACAGGCAGTACTTTCTCTGGCATTAGCCATAGCAACATTTTCTAGATATGTCCCCTCAGGCAAGGGAAATAAAAGCAAAAATAAACTATTGGGCTATATCAAAATAAAGCTTCTAAGGAGCTAAGATGGTGGGGCATAGTAGGGGGGCCCTACACTCCTCTCATCCCTAGAGCACAATTAGATAACTATCAAATCATTCTGAATCCCATAAAATCGACCTGAATACTGACAGAGCAAACTACACAACTAGAGGGAGAGAAAAGGCCACATTAGGGAAGGTAGATAGTGTGGAGACATGGTTTAGGGGAAAAACAAAATAAAAAGCTTCTGCACAGCAAAGGTAACAAGACTAAAAGGCAACCTACAAAATGAGGAAAGATATTTGCAAATGACATACCTGATAAAGACTCAGTATCCAAAATATATAAACCAACACCCAAAAAACAAATAATCAAATTGAAAAATGGGAAAAAGACATGAACAGACATTTTTCCAAAGAAGACATTCAGATGGCCAACAGACACATGAAAAGATGCTCAACATCACTCATCAGGGAAATGAAAATCAAAACCACAACGAGATATCACCTCACATCTGTTAGAGTAGCTAAAATAAAAAAAACACAAGAAACAATTAACTGGAATTTAAAAACTTCTTTAAAAATTAAAACACACACACACACACACACGAAACAACAAATGTTGGCAAGTATGTGGGGAAAAAGTTACCCTCATGCCCTGTTGGTGGTAATGCAAACTGGTGCACCCACTGTGGAAGAGAGTATGGAGATTCCTCAAAAAATTAAAAATAGAATTACCATATGATCCAGTAATTCCACTATTCCCAAAGAATACAAAAACACTAATTTGAAAAGATATATGCACCCCTATGTTTATTGCAGCATTATTTACAGTAGCCAAATTATGAAAGCAGCCCATTGATAGATGAATCAATAAAGAAGATACGGTATAGATATACCCAATGGAATATTATTCATCCCCCCCCCCCAAATAATAAAATCTTGCCATTTGCAACAACATGAATGGAGCTAGAGGATATAACGCTAAGTGAAATAAGCCAGGGAGAGAAAGACAAATACCATATGATTTCGCCGATATGTGGAATTTAAGAAACAAAACAAAGAAAAAAAAAGAAACCAAGAAATATACTCTTAACTATAGAGAACAAACATTGTTACCAGAGGGGAGGTGGGTGGGGCTGGTGAAATAGGTGAAGGGGATTTAAAAAAAGAGGAAGAATGCTGGTTACAGTAAGAGGAGGAAGAAGTGTTCTGTGTAAGGATATGAGGGTGAGGAAATTTTGGAAGCATAGGGAAATACAGATTTCAGAATAGGCAAGAGATAAATGGTGAGATTAGCTGGCCTTTACATTACAGAACTCTGAAGTCAAATTTGGGCAAAGTCACAGTGGATTCAGCCTTGGTAAGAGCTTTTCTCTGTGCATAAAGTATTCTTCCATCTCTGCTCCTGATTTGCTACATCCCTCTTTCACCTACCTCTTACAAATACTTCAGGTTTCATCTTGAGTTTCACTTTCTTTAGAAGGCCTTCCTCCCAACCCCTGATTAATTTATTCCTCTCCCTCTTAAATTTTTCCAAAGAATCTGTAAATCCTCTTTTATTATACTCAATCATATAGCTGCATTTCTGATTATTCAGGCTGCCAGCTGCCTGAAGATATTTGCCTTGTCTGGCATCATGTCCCCAGTATCCAGAAAAATGAAACACATCTGATGATCAAGAAATATTTGGTGAATTAATCATTTGGCCTCATGATGCTTGAATGGCATTGCTTGATATGGCTGAATCCAACTATGATATCAGTAGAATATCAGCCTTTTGATGTCCTTCCACTTCGAATAATGTCATTTTACATATAACTTTTCAAAGCCAGTTACTCAGACAAAGGTGATTTATTTTGATATCTAAAACACTATATAAGATTATCTGGAAAATGCAAAAGCATCCTGCTATTACACTATCCATTTTAGAAACTAAAAAGGCTTGGATTGTATGCTAGAAAAATCCCTTCATTACATGTAAAACATTTTTGCTGTTACCTATAGTAAAAGAGGTGAAAGGACAACCTGAAGGAGAGGGAATGGTCCTGAGAGTGTTTTAGTTGGGATCTATCCACCTCAATCCCAAGAGATGAAGACAAAGATGAAAGAACTAAGATGTGAGGATGTGGTGGGTCCCCTGAATAACACAATCAGTCCACATGGACAACCCATTTGATATATTCAAGCCACTCTGACTTACTGATGGTCATTATTTGGATAGTTCCTCCAAAGTAAGGACATGCCAGTTGTCAAAATGATGTGGAGGTTAATCAACAGAGGTTAATCAACAGAGCTACCACTTGAGAATCTTTCCCAAGGCTGCTGTGAAGATAGCATCATTGGTCCTGCTGAGTCATTCTGTGGTTGTACATGATCCTGGGTGCAAGTCCACAAATATCGAGGCATAGCCTGTGTGCCACTAAAAATAACAAAGGTTTCAGGGTTGGAGACATTGTCAACCACGCTGTCATGGCTATCTATATCTCCAGGACTCAACGGTGGGGGGAAAATATTTAAATGATGACCCTGACAGAAGGAGCCTGTGAGTACTTCAGCTTCAAACACATAGATCAGTTCATCTGTGGCAGATGTATTCTTGACTTGGTATGCTAGGTTTTTCAGATTCTTGGTGAAGTATATACCAACTCCATATTTTGGGTCTGATAAAAGAAAAAAAAAGATCATTATGATCTGTTGAATCATATTGCCTATTTGGGTACTAACATGTATACTCTCTCTAGTCCTATTACATTTTCTAGTAGCCACATAAAAAGGTAAAAAGAAACAGGTAAAACTAATGTAATTATTTTTATTTAATCTGTTATATTCAGTATGGTATCATTTCAACATGTAATCAATATAAAAATTATTAAGGAGATATTTTATATTCTTTTCTTTGGTAGTGGTCTTTAAAATCAGTATATATTGGGGTGCCTAGGTGGCTCAGTTGGTTAAGCATCTGACTTCGGCTCAGGTCTTGATCTCATGGTTCATGAGTTCGAGCCCCAAGTCAGGCTCTGTGCTGACAGTTCAGAGCCTGGAGCCTGGAGCTTGCTTCATATTCTTTCTGTGCCTCCCTCTCTCTCTACCCCTACACACCCCCAACTCAAAAAAAAAAAACCATTAAAAAAATTAAAAGTAAATAAAGAAATAAAATCAAGTGTAATTAATTTACACTTAGAGCATGTCTCAATTCAGATTAACCACATTTTAAGTGCACCATAGCCACATGTGGCTAGTGGCAACCATTTGGACAATGCAGCTCTAGGGCTTAAAAAAATGACTAAGACATGATCCCTGGTCTCAACAATTCACAAAGGGAACTCCCCACATGTAAACACAATTTTATGTGGAGAGCAAATATTTTGAGATAAAAATCAAAGATTTATTTCCTGGGAGTTTCTTCTTGCTCTTGATTCCTCCACCCATTGAGTTCTTCCTACTTATTACTCAGGGAAAAAAGGATAGAGCTTAGAATAAGGTCAGTTGTGTGTGTTTGTGTGTGTGTGTGTGTGTGTGTGTGTGTGTATAATTATATCCTATATAATTAATTTTAATCAAAGCAGAGACTGTGGTCTTGAAAGTTAGGTTTATGAGAGAGAAAAGGGTTTTTTGAACCAAAAATCTAAAAACCTAAAGAATTCAGGGCGCCTGGGTGGCTCAGTCAGTTAAGCATCCGACTCTGTTTTGGCTCAGGTCATGATTTCATGGTTTCGGGAGTTTGAGCCCTGCATCAGGCTCTGTGCTAGCAGTGTGGAGCCCGCTTGGATTTTCTCTTTTTCCCTCTCTCTCTGCCCCTCCCTCACTCATGCTCTCTCTGTCTCTCTCAAAATAAATAAATAAACTTTAAAAATAAATAAAAATTAATAAAAACCTAAAGAATTCATAGCATGGTGTTTATGCCATATGTAACAGAGGAGAGAAGGATGAAAGATATTCTCAGAATAATTTTCTCACTTCAAAATAAATAAAAATTCTTCATTTCACCTGGTAGGAAGAGAAGAACCAGAGAGGACATGACTAGAACTCTTGGGGATTCTGAGAAGGGGCTCACTTCACTGCTCCATTCCCTCAAAAGAGCCCTGGGAGTCGAGATGGGGCAGAACAACAAGAATCTCGGAAAAACAGGGAGGGGGACTTCTAAAGTAGAAGGAACCATTGCCTGACTCTACTGGGTACAGCCCCCTCCTCCAGTCTGGCATCTAAGTGAAAAGTAGCAATGGCTGGGGAAGATGTCCAGAACAGTTGAGGACTGCTATATAAGACCTTGCACTTCAGCTTGGAGGATGTGCACACTCAAAAATTTCCTGTGCTCTAGGACAGGCACAGATACTGGCTTGGAAAGGAATTCCCTCAGCACGAAAAACAGAGTGCCCTGTGGAGACACTAAGAGCAAAGGGCACCATGAATTTAAGCACTGGAGGGTGCTAATGACTGATGCCCAGGATGGCTTATCTAGCAGAGGACATTGGGAGGCAGAGAACAGATAGATGCAGACCATGCACCAAACCACCTTCCTCACAAATGCCTGTCCCATAATCTAAAGCACTCTCAGAAGAGAAGAAGGGGAACACCTTGCAGGAACTGAGTTTAAACCCCAAAGGGACTAAGAAAACTCTGAAAATGACTGAGTTCATCTTGAACCATCAAGAGTTTTCCTCATCTGCAGACATAGGAGCTTGAGATGTAGGTAAAGTTCCATTTTACAGCAATAAAGAAGACAAGACCCACACCCAGGTTTTGTGGAACTGTAAATTTTGATACTTATTGGAGTTACAGATGTGGTAACAAAGGAATACCAGAAGTGCAGGAGGACAGAAGAGGAAGCAGGTTCCTGGGCCTGCAGGAGTTAGGGAAGGTGTCAACCAGGACATGCCATTTGAGCTATGTCTGGAAGAAAGAATGGGACTTTGTGGGCTAAAAAAGGATGAGAGAGGAAGGCATTCCACATGCAAAGGCATAAAGGCAGGAAATCTCCAGTACATTTAGGAAACTCTTAAGCAGTTCATGGCTGAAGTGTTGAGGAACATAGTGACAAGGTGGGTGAATAATGTGGGGCTAGGGCCTTATGTGCTTTGCTAAGGGGTTTGGGGTTTTACCTTGTAGGCGACTAGAAAAATAGATATTAAATAAGCATGTATTTTGATGAGCTCTGGTACTTGTTTAAAAAACACTGCTAGGGGCGCCTGGGTGGCGCAGTCGGTTAAGCGTCCGACTTCAGCCAGGTCACGATCTCGCGTTCCGTGAGTTCGAGCCCCGCGTCGGGCTCTGGGCTAATGGCTCAGAGCCTAGAGCCTGTTTCCGATTCCGTGTCTCCCTCTCTCTCTGCCCCTCCCCCATTCATGCTCTGTCTCTCTCTGTCCCAAAAATAAATAAAAGTTGAAAAAAAAATTAAAAAAAAATAAAAAATAAAAAAAATAAAAAACACTGCTATTGGTTTACCCTTCTAGAAAAAATCTTTTAAACCTTAAACAATGGAGATTGATTATGAAAACACTTAGGCACGCTCATCAAAATGGAGATATCATTTCTTTAAAAGTTTGGTCTTTATGCTCTTTAACTGAGATGGCTTTATAGCCTTTACAGTCTGACTCAGAACAAAATATAAGTTCACCTAAATTAAAAACTCATCAAGAAGGAGATGAGTCGGATTTTACATCTGATAGTTTTAAGGATGAATCTTCTTCTGAAGAAATCAAGGCTATAGCGCCTGAGGAAGATACTTCACCAGAATGGACTCTACCGCCACTCACAAATGATAACTTGGAGGCTACTGCCCCTCCTTACAATAAAGTATACCCCCCTCCTTTACGTGAAAAATTACCACTCATGTTAAATGAAAGACTGCCTATCCAGTCACTTCCAATCCTTTTTCTAATGACCAGCCTCATTCCGACTCGAGTATGAGGACCTTCACTTAACTGCACTTTGTTTGCAGGCTCATCTTTTGCAACTCCGGCCATACTCCCTGCAACACGTGTATTTTTTTAGGATGATAATTCTGGTAGCAGAGTAAAGGGTAGGTTGGATAGGGTTGGTTTTGAGGCAAGGAAAGGACCTGATGATTGTCCAGGCCCAGGGGAAGAACAACAAAGGCAGTAGGAATAGAAAGGTGAGACTGGGCTGCAAAGGTCACCGAGAGAGAACCAGTAGGGCTGTGTGACTGCCTGGACATAAGAATGAGAGGAAGGAAGGAGAGGAAGATGGTAGAGTTTCCAGCTTAGGAGACCCAGTAGATAGATGGTGATGGTATTAGTCAGGTTAGGGAGTACTGGGGGGGAGGGGGGAAGCATATTTCTCAGGGTAAAGTATGGCCAAGAAAAGAGTTCAGTCTGAGGTGGCTCTGGAACATCTAGGCAGAAATGTTCAAAAGACAGTCAGAAATATGGACCTGCGGGTCAGGGGAGAGGTAGGGGGTCAGAGTCACAAATTCATAAGTCATCCATAGAGGTAGGAGTTTGAAGCCATAGGAATGGGTGCAATCACGCAGGGTGACACTGTAGGGTTACAAAAGAGAAGGATTCCTTTCGAACTCCAGAAAACACGAACATTTAAAGAATGGGCAACAGATGGACTCACTAGATTATAAATTTTAAGGGTAGGAACTCTATGTGTTCTGTTTACTGTGGTATTCCTCTCACCTAGCACAGGGCCTGACTTATAGAACGTGTTCAAGAAACACTTGTGGAATGAATGAATGAACCCAATAAAAAAAATTGCAAGCATGTATTCTCCTTCTTGCTACATTCAGCCAAGCCCTACAAGCAAGAGATGAACTGGCTGGAATACAAGGCAATATAGAAAATATATACATACAACTTCATTAATAGAAGCCCCTGGGGGCGCCTGGGTGGCGCAGTCGGTTAAGCGTCCAACTTCAGCCAGGTCACGATCTCGCAGTCCGTGAGTTCGAGCCCCGCGTCGGGCTCTGGGCTGATGGCTCAGAGCCTGGAGCCTGTTTCCGATTCTGTGTCTCCCTCTCTCTCTGCCCCTCCCCCATTCATGCTCTGTCTCTCTCTGTCCCAAAAATAATTAAACGTTGAAAAAAAATTAAAAAAAAAAAAAAGAAGAAATAGAAGCCCCTGTGCCTATAGGTGGCCATCTGAATTGACCAAGAGTCCCATAATTTGGAACCTTGCAGGGTAAAAAAGACTTTGTAGTCCAAATGAAAACTAGGTTAGGGGCACCTGGATGGCTTAGTCAGTTAAGCATCTCACTCTTGATTTCGGCTCAGGTCATGACCTCACGGTTCGTGAGATCAAGCCCCACATCAGACTCTGTGCTAACAATGCAGAGCCTGCTTGGGATTCTCTTTCTCCCTCTCTCTTTGCCCCTTCCTCTGCCCATGCTCGCTCTCTCTCTCTGTCTCAGAATATACATTAAAAAAAAAAAAAAAAAAAAACTAGGTTTAAAAAAGAGTTGCAAAACAACTTCGGGGTAATAAAATATCTCCTGTGTTTCTCAAGCACCTTTGGTGAAGCATGCTCCCCACAGACATGTTGGTACAGTCTCATTATGGGCATAATGACTCTAACCATCTGAACTGCCTCAGGCAGTGGGTGTTAACCTGGACATGGACATGGACAGAGCACAGAGGCCAGTAGGTAAAAGACCAGAATCTTAAGGCTTAAAGACTAGATGGAGACAAGATCTTTAGCTGGGTTATAAAGACACAAACTTGACCAGAAGCAAACAGGTTTCCTGCCTGCTGAGGTTTTAAAGGAACTGTATTGCTGAAGAAACTGCAAGCCTGGCTACAGTAACCTGAGAGCATTCTAGTCCCTGAGGCAATCCACGGACCCCTGATAGGCAGAGGGCCTAGAAATGACCAAGGGTGGCAACACATAAGGAAGATTCTTCTCAGAGTGGAAAACAAGGGTCTTACCACTCCCAGAATAGAGAATACTCTCTATGCCTATCCAGCAGCATGATTAGTGGTATGGACCAGTGACTTTCTTTCTACCATTTAGAAATGGGAGGGGTTTTATTTTTAAGTTTATTTATTTTGTTAGAGAGAGAGAGAGAGGCAAAGAGAGAGGAGAGAGAGAATCCCAAGCAGGCTCTACACTGTCAGTGCAGAGCCTGATGCGGGGATCGAACTCACGATGTGAGATCATGACCTGAGCTGAAATCAAGAGTTAATGCTTAACTGACTGGGTCACCCAGACACCCCTAGAAATTGGAGTTTTTATTGCAATTTTCCTGCTCCTTCTCCTCTCATTATATAACAAGTGGGTTAGGGCAATTACTTAGCTTTTAAGCTTTAAGAGAGGACTTTCTGGATTTGAAGCTGACGATGAGACAAGATGAGATTTGGAGGCTGTTTTCCTTGGGAGGTGGTGTATGTGTCTTTTAGGGAAAAAGACATGTACAGATGTCAGGCAGGCAATTAGCAGTGTCTGCCACAGGATTGAAAAGAAGGCACTACTGGATTTGAAAAATGGGACAGTGATGGTCTTAGAATAGTTTAGGTAAGGGTAGGGAGGGGGAGTGCAGAGAAGGCCAGTTACAATGGGTTTAGGAGAAAATGGATGTTGTGAATTTTTAAGACTTTGCCAATATCACTTTTCTAGTTATAATCAAAGACTTCTTGGTGGGGATTCACTTGTGAGTTTTTACCCCCAGGAATTTTCCATGTTCAATTTTTACAACAGGTATTGCTTATGTTCTCTCTGGGGCAAAGAGAAGATGATTTCTAGACCCTTTGCTTTCTAGAAATCAAGAGCTGGAGTTAGCTTCACAGCAAGGGTCATGCTATATATTTTTAAAGATAAAGATCAAGAACATAGTCAATAGATCAGGCAAAATCAAGCCTCATCGTTAGGTACCCATCACGATCATCACTAAACTTCTTAGGCTCCTTTGGAGACATCTGAAGGGGATAAAACAGCAGTTAAGTATGCAATATTTTCGTACAACTGAAAAGAGACATGAGAGCTACACATAGAAGCCCCATAGCTGAAAAGGATCTTAAGATGTTATTTACTTCCCCTGCCAGATATCTAATTCATTCACTAGCAGCCTACAGCAAATGAAGAGGATGGAAGAGAAAAGAGCAACTTCATGAAGTTCAGGAAAGTGCTCTTTTGATTAAGGGATGAGGTTTGGTAATGTTGATAATAATTTTGTGGAAATAAGCCAAAAAAAAAAAAAGAGAGAGAGAGAGAGAGAGGAGCTTCAGGGTGCTCTCTGCAGATAAAACACATGATCACAGAAAAGAGAAAAACAGTGAACTGTAGTCTCACCGTTCACTTTCGTCAACATTAAACCCATCAGCAATAAAAAATATGAAGGAAAAATAAAAAATATGACCCTTTCCAAATGACTTTACCACAAAATCCCAATTACAAGCGATCCCCTCACCACAGCAACAAATACTATTAGTGGTGAGTCATCTGCTGATGTCTGCTTACCAGTTCCCACATATAGAGCCCCCCAGTGATGAGGGGCTAATACCTACCACAGGGCATCGAGTACATTCTTTGAAAGCCAACTCTGCATACTGCTTCACAGAACTGGTAAGGAACTTGCTGAAACAACCTGTGGCTCACAGGATCCCTATGTATTCTTTCTTCCACCATTTTCTTCTTTCTTTGGAAGACAGCCATGAGAAACACATTGTCAATTTCCTCCACCTATGACCCAAGGATATGAAAAACTGAAAACACTGAAAAAAAAAGGGTGAGAACCTGTATTTCAAGTGCCTGATACTCCACTTCAAAGATAATGGTTCTTACGTGCATATTACTTTGCAAGCAATTTACTTTTTATATAAAGTTTTTAAAGCATCTCTCCGAGCCCCAACCCTCTCCTACTTTGACTTCTGTCTCTTCAAAACTCCCTGTCCCTTCTTTGATAAATCCATTTAATAAAAATTCACTGAGCACTAACTATGTGCCAAGAAGTGGTAACGAATTGGTCAACAGTGTATACACATTCTTGGCCTTCTTAAGAGCCCACAGTTTAATGAGAAGTAAAAATAGGTAAACAATTATAATACAGTGTGGTATATGCTATTCCATTTCTTTCACTTTGCTTCAAGATAGGCAGATAACTTTCCCCCAAATCTTCATCGGTGCTTCTGTATATCCTGACATCATTTCTACCTCCTGGTGCCCATCCCTGCCCCACTTTCAGTCTTAATCCCAGGGTTCCAGGTCAATGAGCAGCTGGCTTAGAGTCATCAGCAGGTGAATTCTTCTTTTGGCTATAGACCCACGACAGGTCAAACCCTTCCCTTAATTAAGTATACCTTTATAACCTGCAAACCACAGCTTTCAAACTGTTTCTTCTGATTCTGAATTTCCTCAGTTGAAAGCTTTAGGCATTTCAGAAATGTACTCCTTTTCATTTCATCCTGGTTTTTTGGTTGCCAATCAGTCCATTGTCCTAAAAACGAGTAACACAAAACTTGGTCTCAATACTCTGTGAGATGAAAAAGGTTTGTAAAGAAATGCAATGAAACAAATTATAGATGTTTAAAGGAATAGATTAGCCAGTTTACACTGTATGCCTTACATGTTTAGGCATGCAAGGAGAGTATCATATAATGAGAAGTCATAGGATAAGAGAGGGGCTAATAAATTTGTCCTCACATGATTTGGATTATGAGGCTGAGGGGGTGAGAGAAAAAAGAGCATTAGTATATACTTCCCCCATCAATGTTGTAATGATGATATAGAATTGTGTTGCCAATAGGTAATGTTTATATTTCTAGCCAGGATGCTCATCAACAAAAAGATACAGGCATAACAAAACATTAAGGAATGATGAAAAACAGTATGACATTTACATAAAACTTCAAGATTCTCAAAAAGATTTCATATCTCAACCTCATTTGAGCATTTCACACCACCACTGAAATAATTATAATTAACACACTTTTACAACGAAGGAAATTGAAACCCAGAGAAGTAAGTGACTTGCCCGATATCACATACCTAATAGGTACATACCCAGGAGTATAAACCTGGCTTTCATCAGTGCTTTCTGCAAGTGGCAAGGCAGAATATTTGTATCACTCATATACCACCCAACCACAAAGAGCAAAATTTGGAGATTCAGAGTCTATGGTGTCCTGTCTTTCCTCCCTTCCTTCCTTTTTTCCTTTTTTTCTTCCTTTGTTCCTTCTCCCTTAACTTTCCTTCCTTCCTTCCTTTTTAAATTCAAGGGACAACCTGTTATTGCCCAGCAACTCCTTATTGGACAAAATACACAGGTGGACAAATGGACCCCACCACCACTACCAAAAAGACTTCTTTTCTTTCAGTTTATTTTCAGTTTGACATAAACCCAAGTATACAAAAATGACAAAATTCCCAGCACATTATTTAATTGAGTGGTCTCAATTTAACCACAAAAAAGCAGATAATAAATCCTAAGAAAGTCACTAGAGGGGCCAAGTTGTAAATCTGGAAAGCAGGAAGGACAAAATTTCATAGCAGAGAAACTCCAAACCCAGAAAGTTTCTAAGGAAGAGACTGTAAATTAAATCTCAAGAGCAATAGCTGACATTAATAAAGTATAGTAATAGAATTCAGTTCACTTGAGTTCAGCAACTCATTTACTGAGCTCCTATTATATGCCTGGCCCTGGGTTGGGCACCGAAGAAGCACTCACCAGGAAGGATTTAAAAAGCAGCATAAAAGAGGAAATCCCTAACTTCTATTATTTAAATTTTATTGTTCTGACGGATAGTTGATGTTTCTTGTAGTAATAACTCATTGAAAATGTATCCATTTTGTTAATGAAGGTCTTAATCTGATTAAGAGAGGGTGAGTCTGTAGGAAACTCTGAAACAGTGCTGTGGAATACTATGCTTAGTCATCACCTATCAAAAATACCACCTTGCACCAGAACATGGGACTCACATGACTAAATTGCCAACTGCTGGCAGAGTGGATCAACCTTATGAATGCAGTTAGTTTAAAGTAATGCCACAAGTTTTATAGGCCAGTGTTTTTTTTGCCTCTTGTTCTCTTGGAAAGTATCAGAGTCAATTTAAATATCCACAGTCATTATAATTCAAACTAAGCAGAAATTAAAATCTTTGGTCTTATCCTTGTGTATTATTTTTGTGCATGTTCTTTGACACTGGTTTTTCTGGGGAATATGGATAAAACACTTATTGTATACTCCCACTCACTTTGACCACATCTGCCTGAATTATTTTTACAAACACAAGTGAAAATAAGGTGCCCTTTAAAATTTCACATATGAATTTTTGTACCAACTCATCAACATCACAGTGATCTTTCTACAATACAAGTCTGACCTTATCTTTGCTTAAAATCCTTCAAGGCTCCCCATTTGTTCAAGAAAAACTCTGAACTCTTCCATGTGATTTATAAAGTCTTTCATAATCTAGACCCTGCTACGGTCTGATTGCTTGAAAAGTTTCTTTACCTTACTAATTTCTACTTATTCTTTTTTTTTTTTTTTTTTTTTTTTTTTTTTTTTTTTTTTTTTTTTTAGAGAGAGAAAGAGAGAGAGAGACAGCAAGCAGAGAAGGGGCAGAGGGAGAAGAGAGAAAAATCTCAAGCACACTCCACGTCTAGTGCAGAGCCCAAAGCAGGGCTTGAACTCATGACCATGAGATCTTGGCCTGAGCCGAAATCAAGAGCAGCACACTCAATTGACTAAGACACCCAGGAACCTCTCTACTTATTCTTCATTCTCCATTTCTGACACCTTCTCTGAGAAGCCTTCCCTTGACCTCCCAAGTCTGGGTTAAGTGCCTAAATTGGTATCCTGAGACCAATTTCAAAGTCTCTGTGTGTAGGAGGGTTTCCCATATGTACAACCAAGCAATTCTGCTATTGTCTATCCAAAGATAGCATCAGATTCCACAGGTTAGGGGTTCAGTCCTACAAGCCTGCTCTTCAACACACACATACTTCAGACACCAGTCAAAAGCCAGGTTGTCACCTGTGCTTCTGGCTGACTAGCTACAAACTGGAGATTCCAATGACCTTCTCTGTGGATTTCGGGCACTATTTGCAAGTCCAGGTTGTTACCTGTACTTTTGACCAGCTGGTCAAAACATCTCCTCCTCAGGTTCAATTAATTTGCTAGAGCAGCTCACAGAACTCAGAGGAACATTTTACGTACTAGATTACTGGTTTATTATACAGGGATATTATTCAGGAATAGCCAGACAGAAAAGATGCATAAGGCAAGGAAATGGGGGCAGGGTGCAGAGCTTCCATGCTCTCTCCTAGCAAGCCACTCTCCCTACATGCAACTTTTATATGCACTAAAACTCTCCACGTGCTCGCTGACCTGGCAGTTCTCTGAACCTGTCCTTCTGGGTTTTTACTGAGGTCCATACATAGTCATGGCTGATTAAATCATTGGTCAGTGGCAACTGATTCAACCTCCAGCCCCCTCCCTGGAGGTTGGGTGGGGGAACACTGAAAGTTCCAATCCTCCAACCACAGGGTTTGGTGTCCTAGTGACCAGTCCCCATTCTTAGGGGCTTTCCAGAGTCACCTCTTTAACATAACAAAAGACATCTTTATCACTCTCAACACTTAGGAAATCCAAGGGCTTTGAGAGTTGTAAGCCAGAAATGTTGACGATGACCAAATGTATATGACCATATATTTTGGTCATCTGAATGACCAAACATATCTTATAAATCGCAATATCACAGTGCCTCTCCGAGGTGCTCCCAGAGCACTTTCACCCTCCTCTTTCATAACTAACCTGCTTGCTTCTCAGTATCCTTACTTGGATTTTGAGTGGAAACAACGTCCATCACAATGCTTGGCACATACCATAGACACAATATACATTAATCAAATAAATAAATGAAATAAGTCTCTGTTTCTCAAGGTGGCATTTTCAATGGTATAATTTCTTAGCTCTAGGGCTATGTTAAAAGGAGATCTCCGAACCCAAATTCCCAGTCATCATGATGAATTTTGCCCCGCTGCATAGGAGATACTTGAGTATACTTCACAGTAAGAATGAATAATTTACTTTGGTGAGAGAGCTCAAAGTAATTTTAGGGTTCCTAATGCTGCTAGCAACAAATACATAAATGCAATAGAACTCAAAGAAATTGATTAATCAAGTGTAATGTGTCTGTCTAAATTTGAACATTCCATGTGTAGAATTAAGGATGTACTTTTTTCCCCAGAGCCTGGGCTTATGTTATCCTAGGCTTTTAACTGCTAGGCATTTAACTGCTTCTTAGGCAATCCATTTCATCATAAGTAAATCCAATCACTCACGTACGTGTGTGTGTGTGTGTGTGTGTGTGTGTGTGTGTGTGTGTGTGTTGATTTTCTAATTAACCTTGCTGGTAGAAAGAGAGCCAAAAAACAGTTATAAAAGTTTATGGCTTAACACAGAACCAGCAATGGTTTGTTCTCTCTCCCATGCTATATCTTACCCACATATATACAGGTGCACTCACACCCATAAGAAGGAACAGTTGGGAGAGCCGACTTTTCAACTCAATTGGAAGTTACTCACCTGACAAGCTCCAAAGGGCTAGCTCCTTTTTTCTTGCCATTTCCTCTTGAACTTCACACAGCATATGTTCAATGTTCATAACCACCTCAACGAGGCTAGCCTGGGCTCCTTTAATCTCTAAAATTACCTTTTCCAGACTGATAATCTCTGAGATAGAGACCCTTAAATTATTCTGAAGCTGAGTCAAAATGTCATGCTCCCTTTTTCCAAGGTAGAGTATATGATAGTTCTCAATGATGTGGTGATCCTGGAGGGTCAGTATCCTTCGGATCCACGCTTGGGCCTCCTTCATCTTTTCCATGTTGCGTCCCATCAGGGTGATGGCAGGAGATTTACTTTTGAGCCCATTTTCTCTTTTCTCCTCTCTGGTCAACTGGGGGGCTGAAAAGACTATCATGAACAACCACAGAAGGCAGGTGGGCCTTAAACCAGAGAACAAAACACCAATGCCAATATTTGCCCTGAGGATATCGTGACCACTGCCAGCAGCAGCAACTTCAATTAAGTGCCTAGCTCTGAGAGCTGTGTTGGATACAAAGGAAATCTAAATGTGTGGTTTACAGTCTCCTTGAGAACGGTGGAGCCTGTAAGGGGTTGGCTCTCTCATGTCTTGCTGCTGCTCTGTTGCATTTGTCAATTCACAGGTGAGTTCACCTTGATATCACCCTGGATGTTAACCAACTATTACAGACATACATGCAGTTTGGATTCCATATCACCGCAATAAAATGAATACTGCAATAAAGTGAGTCGAATGAATTTTTTGGTTTCCCAGTGCAGAAAAAAGTTATGTTTACACTATACTTTAGTGTATTAAGTGTGCATTATGTCTATAAACCAATGTAAATACCTTAATTAAAAAATACTTTGTTGCTAAAAAATGCTAACCATCATCTGAGCTTCCAGTGAGTCATAATCACTGATCACAGATGACCATAACAAACATAATAATAGTGAAAAAGTTTGAAATACTGTGGGAATCACCAAAATGTCATATAGAGACACAAAGTGAGCAAATGCTGTTGGAAAAATGGCACCAACTGACTTGCCCGATGCAGGGTTACCAAAATCTTCAATTTGTTAAAAAAAAAAAAAAAAAAAAAAAAAAAAAAGCAGTATCTGTGAAGCTCAATAAAATGAGGTGAGCCTTTATTTCCTGCTGACTGGGAGTTTCCTTAACCTCTTGCTACTACCGAGTTTGAAATCAAACATCTCTGAAAGCCATAGAACTTAAAGAGTGAAAATTCTTTTTGAACAATATGAGTATTTCTGATTGTAAAAATAGTACATTTATTTTTGAAATATTAGAAAGTTACCCAAGTATAATGAAAGGAAGAACTCTCATAATTCTACTACCTGGGATTCCTCTTTATATATCACCTGTAGGGAAAAGGACATGTTACACCTCCACAGAATCTGGAGCTTAGCACTTCCTATTGCTTGACATGGTATATCCCAGCAGATAAGATAATGGAACTTTATTCCAACCCATGGGGAATAAAGGGGGTACCCATGTGTACCCCTCTCTAAAACCCCCTTCCATAACAAGCAAAGATATATATAAAGAAGAAGAATCTCTTAGATGGATTAGAGTGACCCTGAACCCAAACTGGAAAAAAAAAAAAAAAACAACAACTCAGGGGGCAATGGACTAACTGAGAGGAAATTGATAGGTGAGGCAGTATCTAGAATGCATAAAGAATTCTCTCAAATTATCAAGAAAAAGAAAGAACCTAGTAGCCAGCCAGGCAAAAGATTTCACAAAAAAGGAAACACAAAGGGCCCCTATATGTGTGAAAAGATGCTCATCTTCACTGGTAATCAGGGATATGAAAAATTACCCACCAGGTTGGCAAAAATTCATAAGCCTGACAATACCAAGTTTGTGGAAGGATATAGAGCAGGGGCTCCTGTATATATTCGTGACGGATGTAAAACTGGAACAACCACTCCTATAATTATATCTTGTAAAGAAATTCTTGCATGTGTGTATCAGGAGATATGTACAAGAAAGTTCACATTCTCATTCTTAACAGCAAAAAACTAGAAATGACTCAATTGCTCTCCAACAATGGAATATTATTATAGCAATAAAAAGGAGTGAACTTCAGCTATTCAGAAGAATCTCAAAAACATATTTTGAAAGGTAAAAGTAAATTGAGCACTTACCATGTTCTAGGCATTGCTCTAAGTGCTTCACATAAATTATTTTGTTCACTCCTAACAACCCTACGGGATAGGGGAGGCTGCTATTAACAGCCCCCTCTTACAAATGAGGAAACTTATTCAGAGTTATTAAGTAACTTGCCCATGGCTATAGGACTAGTAAGTGGTGGTCATGGAGCTAGTAGGTGTGGGCAGTCTGCCTCCCCAGGAGTGATCCCAGGTTAGTAGCGGTAATTAGCTTCTTTTACCCTTACATAACAGTTGGGTGGTACCAGGAACTATGAAATAGTACCATGATAGACCTAGAAGTAAGAGAGGGAGGGTGGCTTTCTTTGAATAAAATAAAATCCAATGTTTTAGACTATAGAAGTGACAAGAGTTCTTAAATTGGAGGCATAGGAGCTTGTCTGTTTGTTTTTAACCCTTGTTCTGCCTGGGAGCTTATATTACTTTTTAGGAGAAAATAGAAGTAATACATGGTGATATTTCATTTATTCATCACTACCAGAAAAAAAAGAATTGTTCTTCTGGGTAACTACTGGTTCAGATCACTAAGGGATACTCTTCTAGCACCAAAACACATTAGTTATTTATTAGCTAAATTATTTATTTAATTACTTAAATATTTCTAATGAAAACACATTTCCCTGCCTTTCTTAACTTTTCCTTGTTAACCTGAGACCATCACCATTAACCCATTTTAAATTTTTTTTTTCAACGTTTATTTATTTTTGGGACAGAGAGAGACAGAGCATGAACAGGGAAGGGGCAGAGAGAGAGAGGGAGACACAGAATCGGAAACAGGCTCCAGGCTCTGAGCCATCAGCCCAGAGCCCGACGCGGGGCTCGAACTCATGGACCGCGAGATCGTGACCTGGCTGAAGTCGGACGCTTAACCGACTGCGCCACCCAGGCGCCCCACCATTAACCCATTTTAAATGTCAATTATTGTCCTGTGCTATCATAATTCTTTTATAGTTGCCCTCAAAAATTACTGAAATAACTGGTAACCTCTGGTCCTACTATTCAGGCTAACAACATAGAGACATTTGTATGTTCCTTTTCCACATTATCCTCATCTAAGACTCCTAGCTACCTTTCCTAGATTCAGTGAAGTTCCCCATATATGCACTGCATTTATTTGCTTCTGTGGGTTTTCTTCACCTCGGGTGCCCAACCCCACCAGCTCTTGCCATTGAAAATCTGCCATCCTCAAAGCCTAACTTAGATCCACCTGTCCAAGAAGTCATTCTTGATCCCTTCTGGTCAGAAGGAATCTCTCCCTCCTCTAGGGCACCTGGGTTGTCTGTCCATCCTCTTGCCCATTATTCCATGGCCTTTATTTAATGCTTTGCATTTACAGAACATTTTTCATACATGATCTCCAATTATCCTCACAAAAGTCTGTCATTATTGTTTTACAGATAAATAAGCAGGTTCCTAAGAGGCACAGCCACAGACCACAGCTCTCCAGCACTGCTGGACCACAGCATATCCATAAGCAAACTCTTCTGTTAAAGGGTGTAAGCAAACCATTGTGACCCTACTGGGAAATAGCCTGAGAGTTTCTATTGCTGGTTGAATGTCTAGTGTTTTTAAGATTCATAGAATACTGTAGATTAATACTATTTCTAGAATACTGTAGATGTGTACTATTTCCGAAGTATACATCCTAGCTGTCAGGAGGCAATTCTAACTCCATCAACTCAAACTCCACTAAAGAAAAGGAGTTATGAGACAAAGTTAATCTTTCTCTAACACCAACCAGGGTTAGTTTAGTCCTGTGATCCCCAAACCTAGTTCAGCAGCAAAATTGACTAGGGGGCCATTGAAAAATATACATGCTTGGCCCAGACCCAGAGCTCCTGAATCAGAATCTACACAGTTGGGGCCTATACATATTTTTGTTTGTTTGTTTGTTTGTTTGTTTGTTTGTTTAAAGTTTCTGTTATGATCCCAGTGATTACCCAAGTTTAGGTAGCATCAGCTTAATCCATTTATTACTATTTGGTATTACCTAGATGTGTTTTCTAGAATGACTAATGAGTATCTCCATTTAGATGTAACCCCATTCAGAGCAGAAAGAGTAATTGGCTTCGTCATCTTATGAAGGGCAGAACTTTTTCTTAGGGAAAAAGTATAGACAGCTATCTATGAATGGACTACCCACACTGTGGATTACCCACTGTGGCTTAGCTTCTCTCTATTCGTATCATGAGACTGGCCTGAGCAAAAATAGAATCATGATCAGATATAAAGCAGGTTGGTGTCCAAGCAGGAGCATAGTGAAATATATTTGGCTTATTTCTTCTTCTCCCTTCCATTAGTTCAGATGATAAAGAAGAGAATGAATTTCTGGTGGGTAGACTCTACTTCTAAGGCTGTGAATTTTGTACTCACCACTGTAATTATTGAAACCCCGTAGCCTGGACTTACTCTTTGCCATTTCAGCACTGAAAGCCTGTAAGAAGAAAAACAGGAGAGTCATAAGTGGAGCTTTCAGCCATTGTCATCAAAATCCCTCCGTCTACCTGCACATACCACACCTGACCTCATCCACTCTGTCAATCCCCATTCCCACTGCCACAAATCTAAAGCAGCCTTTTGGTAAGTGCTAGAGAATAGCAATTCCAGCCCCAAATTATGCAGTACCACAATCTATTAGAATATCTTGGGGAAACAAGAATAGAAAAACTGGAAAGAAAACCAAAATCTGGTATATAAAAAAAAAAAAGAATGTGTATTCCAAGGCGAAATATAATCATTCATTCCACAAACATTCATGCTCTGCTTCTTGCATGTTAGACACTGAACTAAAGCTGTGGATGTGTCACTCAAGAAGAGAAACATAGGTGTATGTTCTTATAATTAACAAAACATAAATTCATTTAAAAAAGGTATATGCACACACGTTGTCTGTAGACTGAATAGGTGATCAATTCTTGTAAAGTGCTTAAAACTCTACCTGGCACACAGTAAGCATTCAACGTATGTTAGCTCTTGTTGTAATTATTATTACATAATTCTATAGACAAAAATTTGTGTGTGTTGCCACACAGATCCTTTAACAGAGTGTCTTTTTTAAAAAACTAATCTCTGCAAGGGTTTGGAGCCACTACCCAGTGTCTTCCTTATCTTAAGTTGATTCAATTGGCAGTAATTACTTCATTGGAAAGATGGTAAATAATGAGGTAAAGACTAGATTTGGCTTTGCACCTGAACTTTAACAATGAAGTTTCTTAATCTGTAGGACATTTTCTTCATCAATTGTATTTGCAGCTGCTATATCCAGAGCAAAAAGCCCTCAGTCGTACCATATTTAGTACCTGGAGAGGTCATGACAGGGTATTTCTTTTGCATCCCTGTCCAAGGACTTGGAAATAAAACAAATGGGAAAGCATTATCTGCTGATAAATATAACATCTGTCATGTGTAAAATGAATAAAAAACATCTCTCTCTAGAAGTCATTTTCAATACCAGGATGTGGGGCACCTGGGTGGCTCAGTTGGTTGAGTGTCTGACTCTCGATATCACCTCAGGTCATGATCCCAGGATCTTGGGATCAAGCCCCACGTCTAACTCTGCACTAAGCATGGAGCCTGCTTGAGTTTCTCTCCCTTTCTCTCTTTGCCCCTCTCCCCTGCTCTCTCTCTCTCTAAAGTTAAAAAAAAAAAAGTAAGGATGTATTACAGGGTTAGAAACAACTGGCAAGGCTTTTGAACTAAATGTGAAAGAAGATTGCTACTAAGCCAATGTCAATAACATAGAAAGTATGAATAACAAGCAGATGGTCTGCAAGTGGTTTGGAAAAGTGGACCCAGACAGCAGGAATCTGGCAGATTCAGGGCTGCAGCAACTGTCCAGAGCACCTAACATGAAGGATGTCAGCAGCATGTCCCTAGAGAAGGTATTCCTTACTCTGAGAGACATTGTGTCTGGCGCAAAGTAGATATGCTATAAATATTTGTTAAATAGCCAAAGGAATGATGATCCATCGACTTTTATAGATACTCTGTTCCATCCAGTAAACCTTATCATCATGAAATACCGGTAGATACGAGTATTTCAGTCAGCTTGGGAGTCATTTACTCACTGTCATTTATGAATTGGAAATTTCTCAAGTGTGTGAATGTAAGTCTCACTTTATTGGAAGTTTGGTATTGGTTGATCTTCTTGAGTCAGGTCAAGTCTAAGTGTCTGACAAATCCATTCTCTGGAATGCAGGGACCTTGCCAAAGTAATGCCTCCTATAAGAAACTGTGTAAGTTGCTCTCTGCTCTTTCTGAAAACACACCCCTCATTGAAATGCTTACTTAGGAATAAAATAGGTGCTTATCAGAAGGCCAGAGGTTTCTACGTATGTGTATACACAAGTCATATTCCAACATGGTTATAATGTTGACGAAAACCTGAAGGAATGATCAATGTTCAGGGTATAATATAAATTACTGTGTAAGATATTCCTCATTTGAGTCACAAAACTGAAAGATGTATCATCTCTCACGTTATTTTGGTTTTTTTTTTTTAACTTTTTAAATGTTTATTCATTTCCTGAGGGAAAAAGACAGAGTGCAAGCAGGGGAGGGGCAGAGAGAGAGGGAGACACAGAATCTGAAGTAGACTCCAGGCTCTGAGCTGTCAGCACAGAGCCCGATGCGGGGCTCAAACTCACAAACCGCGAGATCATGACCTGAGCGGAAGTTGGTTGCTTAACCGACTGAGCCACCCAGGTGCCCCTCTCTGTGTTTTTGTTTAGTGGTTAAGAACATATAGGCTTTGAGGTGAGACAGACCCAGGATGAAATCTTGGTTTGCCACTTGCCTAGCTGTGTGCCTATTAACCTCTTTGTATGTTTTCCCTTTTGTAAAATGGGGGTGACAATTGCGGCTTCATCACAGGATTGAGGAGAGGATAAAATGAGACAGCTTCTCCTTAGCATAATACCTGACTAATGCAATACATGGCAGCTATTTTTATTATTAATCCTTAGGAGAGCCCTCAATTTGTGGTTGACCTCTCTACTTCATTTGAACCGCCAGGCACATTCTTGTTTGTGTATTGAAGAGAATGAACCTTCTTTTCTAGCTGCAGTTAATTCCCCTTGTAGGGCTATGATACTTAATGAGCAATTCAGGGATATGGTTGGGACATTTATCTGGGCCCACTGATAGTGCTCTGCTTTTAGGGGGAATTTCATTTAAAAGACAGGATGATTCATTTTGCCTGGAAGGCAGGCTACTTGGCTGGGTAACTCTCCGCCACCTTGCAGGTCAGCTGTGGATGAGACACAGTGGTATACTAGAGCTGGCTGACATCGGCTCACAAGAGCTCACTGAACATCTCTTCCCAACTCCACCTTCAGTGATCTCACATTCAGAGCTTGAAGTCGGCAACGAATATCAGCAAATGCTACAAACCTCCCTGTGTCTAGTCAGGCAGCAAAAGAAATAAGAACATTTACATTTGTTCCAGGAAAGAGCAAGCTAGAACAAGAATAAGTTCGTTCTCTTGTAGGGAGAGATAAAATGGCAACCACCCACATGGAGACAGGCTGGGAGGTGGAAGAGTGAGCAGTCAGAGGACTAGTGTTCGGAGCCACTCTCCCTGCCAGAACTGAGCAAGGCCCTTTCTACCCAAAGCCCAGACGCACGCCTGGGAAGTTGCACTAGCACTTGGATGTTGCTATTGGCAGAATCAAAAACATGCCTTGAAAACCTATTTTAAGTTTCTGTATCTTATTTCACTTCCCTTTTTATTCTTCCTTAACATCATGACAGTCCCTTCTCAAAGTGCCAACTAAGCGAAAATAAAGCACAGAGACGGTACTTTAAAGGCAGAACAGCACAGCACTATATACTAATTATGCTGACTATATCAGGGAACTTTTCACAGGTTAGAAACTCAGCTTAATCTGGCCACTCTAAAACAAAAAGCTGAGCTGAAGTGAAAACAAAGGAAGCTGGACACACAGATCTCTGCACTCAGACACATGGCACACTCTCCTACACACACATCCCTCCCTTTTGCATCAGAACACAACCAACTTCCCTCTGAGGTCATCTACATAGAACTTAAGAAACAACAGATTGAATTTGGGGACAGTACCAAGGACATGGCAAAAGCTGCCAAATATATCTGTGCCGTGAAAGAATTTATAATCTAATTGGGGAAAAAAGATAGCAAACGAGTCATTTAATTTAGTATACAGTTCAGCATTCAGTGTGTCACAGCTCCTTACAGCTGATACAACAACAGCTGACCTTCATGAAGGGCTTATCTGTATGCCAAGTACCGTTCTAAGTGTCTTATGTGTATACGCTCATTTAATGCTCACAACAGCTCCCTACGAGGGTAGTTATTATTCCCACTTTATTTTACTTTTTTTTTTTCAAATAAGCTCTACGCCCAGTTCTACAGACTCAAACTCATGACCCCAAGATCAAGAGTCTCATGCTCTACCAACTAAGCCAGCCAGGTGCCCCTATTATCCCACTTTAAAGATAAGGAAATTGAGGCACAGAAAAGCAAATTAACTTGCCCAAAGAAGTTGATTGGAGACAAGAAGATAAAGAATTTGTTTTAAATATGTTGGATTTAGGGTGACAATCAGATAACCAAATGGAAATGAGAGAGGCTTAGGTGTACAGGTCTGAAGGTGACTCAGAAGACAGGACTTTGCAGAAGTTATGGTAGAAGTTGTAAGAATACTTGTGTTCTTGTAGGGAGAGAGAAGAGAGAGGAGCAGAGGACCTCATACTAAAACTAGAAACTTGCTTACCTTTAAGGAGCAGAGGGAAGAATAAATTCCAACAAAGGAAAAAGAGGGAAGTTAGGTAGCAGTGAAAAGATGGCTTCTGTAATGACATTCTTTACTAGGTCAGAGGTGGGCAATTTACAAAAATTCAATTCACCAAGTTAGAATATCACCGTGTTGTACAGGTGCTTAGCTCATGTCTTCACAGGAGATACTAAACAGATGTTACTGAGTGAATGAATGAATGAACAAACTACAAGCCATTTCTAAGATATTAACTTACATTATAGACCTCCAGTTCTTCTGGAAAGATCACAAACTTTACGGTTAATTGTTTTTTCAAATGGCATTTGGCAAACTTTAAAACTTCATTAAACATAATCTTAGCTGCTATATTCATCCATATGCTTCCAGTCCCAAGGGCAGGAAAGGAAATGGAAGTGTTATTTAATTCAAGGCATTTCTGCAAACATTCATTCACTGCCATTCCCAGTGTCTGTAGGAAAAACAGATCAGCCTTTGAGTCAAAATAAAATTTCACTTACCCCTTGATTCCCCCATATTTTACAATGCCAACTTCCCACTCTCCCTCAGGATCATGTCCATGCCTCCTCAGAGAGCAGGAAAGGCCCCACTCCATGGGGAACCCATTGCAGCCATAAGGTTAGATGATGATGAGATGATGAGAGGTTAGATGATGAGAAATAAGGGTCTGTTTTATCCTCTTCAGGACATTTGGGCACCGTGATTTCTCCCAGTTAATGTAGCCTTGCCCATCTCCCCAGGTCAGGTCAGAGAGCCAAACATCAGTGTATCCCCACTTACCTGCCACTTCCAGGTCAAAACAAAGAGCTCTTGGAAGTTTAATAAAGGAGACAGAGGGTAAAAGAAGCAAGCAGCTTTATCCAGAGTCTTTAAGATATGTCCTAATGTCCTATGTGATTTCTCCTCAAGAAGTGCTAACATAGGGGCGGCTGGGTGGAGCAGTCGGTTAAGCGTCCGACTTCAGCCAGGTCACGATATCGCGGTCCGTGAGTTTGAGCCCCGCGTCAGGCTCTGGGCTGATGGCTCAGAGCCTGGAGACTGTTTCCGATTCTGTGTCTCCCTCTCTCTCTGCTCCTCCCCCATTCATGCTTTGTCTCTCTCTGTCCCAAAAAAAAATAAATAAACGTTGAAAAAAAAATTAAAAAAAAAAAGTGCTAATATATTGGGCACATTTAAACTTTCCATCAACGTTTCAACATCCAGACTGAATACGAGCACAGGAAGGTTGTCTGTGGAAGAGCCTCAGAAAACTGAGGGGTAGAGAGTGACTGGAGAACCAGTTTGGGTTTAGAGGGCTCTTAGTCAAAGGACCAGAAATGGTGACAAAATAAAGTCGGAGAAGGGGACTGTTTGCCTTTCTCCACATCTGAGGGGGTACCCCCTACTCTTTAAATTTTATTTATTTATTTATTTATTTATTTATTTATTTATTTATTTAGAGAGGAGGGGAGGGGCAGAGAGAGAGATGGAGAGAAAGAATACCAAGCAGGTTCCACACTATCAGCACAGAGCCCAATGTGGGGTTCAAACCTACAAACCATGAGATCATGACCTGGGCTGAAATCAAGAGTTGGATGCTCTGGGGTGCCTGGGTGGCTCAGTCGGTTGAGTGTCGGACTTGGGCTCAGATCATGATCTCGCAGTTCGTGAGTCCAGCCCTGCACTGGGCTCTGTGCTGACAGCTCAGAGCCTAGAGCCTGCTTCGGATTCTGTGTCTCCCTCTCTCTGTCCATTCCCTGCTCATACTCTGTCTCCCTCTGTCTCTCAAAAATGACTAAATGTTTGAAAAAAATTTTTTTTAATTAAAAAAAAAAGAGTTGGATGCTCAACCAATTGAGCCACCCAGGCACCCCATCCCCCTACTCTTTAATGTGTACGTTGTATGTGCCTCAGGTGAAGAGCTGGCCAGAAAGCCAATCTCTCTCTACCACAGGCATAGGTGGGAAGATACCTTAGGTAATAGATTTACCTGGAATAATGCTGGAAGGGAAATCCCAGATCCTTCTGGCATTTAACAGATGGAGGGAAATATGGAGAGGCTGAATTCCAGGCCCTCTTAGGAAAAGGCTGACAGGGTCATGGTGTGGTGAGGTGAGTGGGTGTGTAGACTGAGGGAGCCCTGCTCTTTCCACGTCTCTTTGCTCACTTACAATCTAGACATGGGTTATGTAATATTTTAAATTAAACTTCTTTTCTTTTAATTTTTTTAATGTTTATTTATTTTTGAGAGAGACAGAGACAGAGAGACAGAGCATGAGCAGGGGAGGGGGAGAGACAGAAGGAGACACAGAATCCAAAGCAGGCTCCAGGCTCTGAGCTGCCAGCACAGAGTCCAAGGTGGGGCCCGAACCCATGAACCGTGAGATCATGACCTGAGCCAAAGTCGGATGCTTAACCAACTGAGCCACCCAGGTGTCCCTTAAACTTCTTAAGATAACTTGTGACAACACCTTTTCCATATTTCAGGGTGGTAGAAAATGAGGACTATCCCACTTAACAACGTTTCATAAATGTAATGACATGATGGAAATCCAGAAAGACTACACAGACTATGGAACTATGTAAAGAGAAACTTATTTTGCACTTACTGTTGTCAGTTTGGGGTATCTTAAATGCCATAACACATGGTATACATATTGACAGGACAATTTAAATCCTTTTGTGATCAGTACCAACTGAGACTCTTGAGGTATCTCAGTAATTTTTTGGTTAAATTCCAATTCTATTTCTTCTCCTGCTTGTTGTAGAATTGATGTCGAAACAGGTCCGAACTTAAGACCATACAGTGGCTTTACAGAATTAACAATTACATCTGTCTGAAAAGAAAAAAAATGGACAGGAATCTTTGTTAAATTACTCTTTCTTAAATCTTTATTTTGCTGAGGAGCTTTTAAAAATACTGTTGAAGACCCTAAATTCACAAAATATCATTTGACAGTGGACAGAAACTCTTAAGTCCAAAGAACGACCATTTGATTGCCATGAGTCCATTTGTCCGATTCAGAAATTAGGTAAAATGTATAAATGATACAATTTTTATTGCAAACATCTGTCAGCTCCTTGCTGCCTTATACCCTCTATATTCCAAGATTCTAAGCATCTCCTGTGATTTGCTTTAACCTTTATCAAGAAATGGTTTCATTCCCTGCCCCATTTTACTATTTTTGTGTGAATTCTGTTTTGTTTTACAGAGAGTAGAAATAAAATTTCTCAGCGAATTTCTACCTCCTGATGTTTTTATTTATATTTTTAAAATTTTTTTAATGTTTATTTATTTTTGAGAGAGACAGAGTGTGAGTGGGGGAGGGGCAGAGAGAGAGAGAGAGGGAGACACAGAATCTAAAGCAGGCTCCAGGCTAGCAGCAAAGCTGGAACTCACAAACCTGTGACATCATAATTTAAACCCAAATTGGCCACTTAACTGACTGAGCCACCCAGACGCCCCCTGATGTTTTTATTTTTAAGGTAAGCAGTACATGGTTAAAGAAAGTACAAATGAGTTGAAAAAAGTCTTCAGTGGAATAGGCCTCCCTCGTGCTGGGTTCCCTGGATGCCTCACTCACCCACCTGTCCTACAGGCAACTGCTCTTACCAGTTCTTCGTCTGTCCTTTCAGCAATGAGCTGCACATACACATGGGCTGTATTTTCAGTAAAATCACCTCCTAGGCAGCCCTGAGAGCTGTGTGACAGGGGGTGGTGGCCTTATTTCCCCTCATGCTCAAATCCTCCTAAATCATCCTGGTGGCTTTGGCCCCCTTTGCGGGCAACCCAGGTACTTTTCATGGATGTTAATGAATGCTTCGCTTTGAAAGCGTGATCGGAATTTCCAATCTGGGGGCACTGGCACCCTTTAAAAATTTTATAGTTCTTGGGGCGCTTCGGTGGCTCAGTCAGTTAAGCGTCTGACTTCGGCTCAGGTCATGATCTCACAGCTTGTGGGTTCGAGCCCCAAGTCAGGCTCTGTGCTGACAGCTCAGAGCCTAGAGCCTGCTTTGGATTCTGTGTCTCCCTCTCTCTCTCTCTCTGCCCCTCCCCAACTCACACTCTGTCTCTCTCTCTCAAAAAATAAAACATTAAAAAAAAATTTTTTTTTAATTTTATGGTTCTTAATGGTGGTGGCAATAAGTAAATAGAATAAAATTTTAAGGTCCTTAATGGTGCTGGCAGTAAGTAAACAGAATAAAATTTTACTTTTATAAAAATAAAAGTAAACTGAAAGGGGTAAGTTATTCAACTAGGATATCTCCACTTTAATTTAAAAAAAGGTTTTTTTAATGTTTATTTATTTGTGAAAGAGAGACAGACAGACAGAGTGTGAGCAGGGGAGAGGCAGAGAGCGAGGGAGACACAGAATCTGAAGCAGGCTCCAGGCTCCCAGCTGTCAGCACAGAGCCTGACACAGGGCTTGAACTCATGAACCGTGAGATCATGACCTGAGCTGAAGTCAAACACTTAACCGACTGAGCCACCCAGGCGCCCCTCCACTTTAATTTTAAAGTAGCATATTAATGGGGCACCTGGGTGGCTCAGTCGGTTAGGCATGTGACTCTCAGTTCCGGTTCAGGTCACGATCTCACCATTTCGTGAGTTCAAGCCCTGAGTTGGGCTCTGCATGATAATCGGAGCCTGCTTGGGTTTCTCTCTCTCTCCCCCTCGCGCTCTCTGCCCCTCCCCTGCTCACACTGTCTTTCTCTCTCAAAATAAATAAACTTAAAAAAAAATTTTTAAGTGGCATATTAATGACTTATTGAATAAATGTTTCATCTTGTGGGGTGGGTCCCCTCAGTCTTCTTCTCTAATTGTCTTGCTGGCGATTTGGGGTATTTTCTCACTTATGATTAAGTCTATTTGATTGTGGCCATAGGAGAAACTTAAGTGTGACATCACTGGTCAGAAATAAAAAGAATATAGCCTTATATTCTTTCTCTTCCTCTTCCCTGCTGCCCCTTAACTTTTTCATCAATAATTTGCTGAACACCTAGATGCATGCATGCCCAGACTGGGCCCTGGGGCCACAGAGATGAACAAGTCATGATCCCCATCCTTAAGGTGCACTGCCCAACAGGGGAGGTTCACTAACCCAGAAATATCCAGGTTCATGGTTACCCTGATTCTCTCTCCTCCTTGCCAGGGCCCTCACTTTTGTGCCCAATGAGCCCTGGCTAAATGCTAAGTTACCCTCTGTATTCTCCACAACCCCTGACACAGAGCAGTATACTAAGTATACAACTTACAGCTTCACCCAGATCTCCTGACTGGTCCTGACCAGTCCTGACTTGTCTAGTCCATTATTTTCAGTCTGTCAACCACTTCTGTGTCTCTCTGATCAAGTCATTCTAAGCAGCCAGGCTGCCACTCTCATCAGTTCATACCCATCATAACTTGAGATCAAATTCAAAACCCTGAAGTAATCTTTCTTGGTCTACTACATTCTTGTCACAAATTTACATACTCTTAAATACTGCGAATTTATTTTGTATTAAGACTTTTTTGTTTAATAGTGATAGGTTGCTTCAGAAATGTTCAGATGGTTTGTTTCCCCAATGGGATTTTTCAAATAGAGAATTTTTTTCTTAGATAAAAAGAGGATAATAGGGGCGCCTGGGTGACTCAGTCTGTTAAGCATCTGACTCTCAATATGCGTTTAGGTCCTGATCTCACGGTCGTGAGATTGACCCCCACATCGGGCTCTGTGCTAAGTGTGGAGCCTGCTTATGATTCTCTCTCTCCCTCTCTCTCTGCCCCTTCCCCACTCACACTCTCTCCCCCTCAAAATAAATAAATAAACATTTTTAAAAAGTATAATAGATTTCAAGTTCCTTGGAATCAAAGATTGTTCCATTTCCTCGTGCTACCTAAGAATAATGACAATAATAATCATAAATAGTTATCATGTGCCAAGCTCTATTCTAAACATTTTATGTGTATTGATTCATGCTATAAGATATAAGTGCTATGATTATTCTCATTTTACAGGTGAGGAGACCCAGGACCAAAAGATAAATGAACTCGATTCAGATCACCCAGTTAGCAAATGGCACAGCTGGCATTCAAATCCAGAGGGACTATCTTTGAAGTTCATACTCTTAGCCTTAACAAGATGCTTTCTAAACAGCATCTGAAATAGTATGTATTAAGAAAAAATACCTGAGTCGTTCATTTGGTTAAGTGTCCAACTCTCAATTTGGGCTTAGGCCATGAACTCATAGCCCATGAATTTGAGCCCAAGTCAGGCTCCACACTGACAGTGCAGAGGCTGCTCAGGATTCTCTCTCTCACTCTCTCTGCCCCTCTCCCATTTGTGCTCCCCATACCTGCCTGTCTCTCTCTCAAAATAAGTAAAAAAACATTAAAAAAAAATACTTGGTAGGTAATCAGGGATCTCCTTTGGCAGGGCAAGAGATCAGAAACAAAGACTTACCTCCTGCTGTTCAATGTAGCCCTGGACAATCTGGAGAGTCAAATTGTTTACAATAATCGTGTTGACAGGTGGGGTGGCTTCTTGATTCACCCGGGATCCTGGCTTGTTCACCCCTAGGATTACTTCTGAAGCATTTTTAAAGGCAACAACAGTAGGGTACTCATTGCTTACCAGGTGAATTTCTTTCAAATTACCAGCCAGTTGCTTCCTTTGGAAATAAAAACTGATAGTTTCCACAATGGTCTGTGTACACAAGTCCAGAGGGAACTGGAAAATCCCAGAGCTCAGGGCTGGAATCGCTACTGTCTCAACGTCTGACTCGGGAAGGGTGACATAGTTCAGAATATTTCTAATGGCCTTCTGCAGCTTACAGATACATCTCTGACGATCTTTTGCCACCCACCGGGGCCCAACAGCATGGATAATTAACTTGCAGGGAAGTCTCCCTGCTCTTGTGATAACTATGTTACCAGTTGGTATATTACCAAATCTGGAAATAAACCTTCGGCTCTCCTCTTGGATTTCAGGGCCTCCAGCATTCACCAGGGCCTGGGCCAGGCCTCCCGCGTGAATAAGTTCTTCATTGGCTGCGTTCACCACAGCATCAACAGTGTGTCTGGTGAGGTCATCCCTCCAAACAGATAACTCCAACCCAGGAATGAGCATTTGTCTGAAGACTTGCAGAGACTCACTGTTACCTTCCGGGGACGGAGAGATGAGGGTACAGATACAGTCAAATTTATTCTGAAGGACTTCACACAGCTGACTCTCATTATTTTTTAAAACTGTGAAGGCATTGTGATCAATGGGAATTTGCCAACCATAGCCTTCTTCAAGAGTGGCAGTCTCTGGAAAAGGAGAGAAAATAAAAAATAAATGAGCAAGGGTTCCTTTGCAAAGGATGTAATTCCGTTTCACACCAGGACACTGAGCTTCCCACGTGCAAAAGAGATGAACTTCCTCTCGCCCCCTTCCTGGTTCTCCTTTTCAACCAGACATGTAACTAGACCACGGATATACAAGAGTTGTTCATGAGAGGTCACCTATAAAGTGCTTAGTTTTGTGTCTGGCACACAGTAAGTACTCAGTAAATGGTATGTTACAGTGATGGTGGTGAGAAAACTATGTGTATGGGGACTCCCGAATTCTTAAAATCTATGTAAATACGGTGACTCTGGGAACCCATGCTTAAGGCCTATGTATGGGAAAGGACCTAATTATGAGTCAAATATATATGGAGGCTTTATTCCTAACTTGTTTGCTTTTGTCAGTGTCTCAGTTTGGGTTCTTTTAAAGCAGGCTCTGAAATAAGGATTTGAGTGTAAGTTTATTCGGGAGGTGACCCTAGAAAACACCAGGGGTGGGTGAGGATGAGGAGGGCGGAGTGAAAAGGAAGTAAGACCTGCAAGGAAGGAAATGAATACAGGGTGTGTTACAAAGCAAATGAAGTTTCACTTCACTAGGGGGCAGTGCAGATCATGTGTCTCAGTTCTACCACCAGAGGGGTAAAACCTGATTATTTATTCAACTTCCATCAGTCACTGGTTGAGAATGCTTCTGTGGGGGCACGGTCCAGCAAGTGTGTGGAGCACTGATAGTGCTACAGTAAATGATTCTTCATCATACTCTACTTTCATGGCACAATTCTGGTGGAATTAAACCTAAGAAGTATTTTTATTGTATGTGGCAGATAAGATGTGCTGCTCGGACCCCCCCTCCCCCAAACTTCAATGCAGTTATAAAGGGAGGAATAGGGTAAGGTAACAGCTTCCAGTTGTTAGTCATCCCTCAGGGTCCATGTCAGCTTTCCAGCCAAGGTCACAGTATCCTCAGGGTGGCACCCATCAACGGCTGAGCCCAGTCATTCACGTTCAACATAGGGCTTCTGTAATGGGTACTTTCAGGCTGGCAGAGCTCTGCCAGGTTTTCATTGTAGTCTCCACCACCCAGTCTGGTTTCTTTTCTTTTCCTTTCACAATAAACCTTGTGTACCCCTAACTCCATCTCAGTTTCTGCTTCCTGGAGAAACCCGTGACACTGTATTTCATGAAGCCTAAGCCACCATTATCACATGCCACTGAGAGAGGAAACAACGATGCCAGTTAAGCCAAGGCACTCTACTGACCGTTAGGGAGTAACCCTATTTCAGAGATGTGAAAAAAATGTGTGTCACAAAACAGATAAAATAGTAAGTAATTACATTTTACTTCAACTCCCATTTTTAATCTGAGCCACCTAGAAAGATCTCTGGTGGCCTCAGTCTCTGGTGGCAGCATATGAATAGTCAAATCAAGTTGGCCTGTGCTTTGGTCAAAAATCTCACGTGGGCCACTCCTGTGATTAGGCAGGTTCCATTTGGCTCATACAACTTGCTAAGCACAAGGACAATCAGTGGGTCACTTCTGGCCACTATCAGCTCTGGGGCTGTGGTCAGAAGAGTCTCACATCTGGTGGGCAAAGCAAAAGACCAATGGGAGCACTAAGAGAATACGCCTGCTGGTGTCACACTGCCCCTGAAGCAGTCTCCCTTCTGAGGAATGTGCTGGGTCACCATGATGCCCTCTCACACCTGAGCACCTGGGGAGGGAGGAGACATTCTGCTTCTAGATTCCCCTTTCTCCAAGGAGGAAAGGCCTAAGCAGAGGTCCACCGAAACAAGAGTGAGGTGATCCTACCTGATTTCTCACTGTAAGCCACTGCTCCAGGACCCTGTGATAAATAAAATGGTTTTTAAAAAATTGCAAATGAACGACTACAGAATTACTGATAACAATTACAGCCTAATAAATACATAGCAACAAAAACTCCACAAAAAGCACTAGGTTTGAGGGGGAAGGGGAACACGTGTTTGTTTAATCTGTGTACCTGACATACTTGAAATACTAAATGTCCCAGCAAACACTGACCCTACCCTACTTCCCTGAAGGCCAATGAACTTCTAATTCAGGGTGAGATGAAGGGTTGGAGATTAACACTTGAAAAGGTCCAAAGGTCACAAACCAAAATGACCCCAAACTCCCAGAGAGGCCTCCAATCTCCAAAGGTTTGCGGGGTTTCACTAGATGAAACAGGAGACATGGGCACATGAACCTCATCAGCTACACCTCCCCATCTACCAGTAAGGACCCACTTTCAATGGTTTATTTCAGGACACAAGCCTGAACATAGCATTTTCAGTTTAAACACACGAGGTGCCTTTTCTCTATTCTCTGATTTTCAGTCCTCTCCTATCTTCCCCAACTCATCCTGCAAAGGCAGAATTGCTGAATGAGTAGATAGAATCAAAACGATGCGGAGATGACATTTTTTTAAAAATCACCCATCCTTGGGGCACCTGGGTGGCTCAGTGGGTTAAGTGTCTGACTCTTGATCTCAGCTCAGGTCTTGATCTCAGAGTCAGGAGTTCAAGCCCCATTGAGCTCTGTTTGTTTAAAAAGCAAACAAACAAACAAACAAACCACGCCCATTCTCATGTTGACTCTGTTGCTTACATTAGCACATTCTTGATTGCCCATCTCTCACATGGTGCAAGGTAAAAACTTTCATTGGGCTATTAAAACCAAAGAAGAATGCCAAGTAGAACTAAAGACCCCAGGATTCTGTTACAGGAAAAACTATTCATGTGCTGATCAAAGTTCATCATGTGTAGATACTTACACTTTCTACCTTGGAAAAGTCCATCCTCTAGGCCCCTGGGGTCTTTAACCGTTTATACTCTGTTTTGTGTTTCCAAGCATAAACTTGTCATTCCCAAATATGGTTGCCTGCTTCTAGGAATGAATAGAAACGATGAAATAAGCACGGACTAGTTTCTCAGGGAATTTGGTAAGAATACACCATAGGAAGACTAAATATGATTTCTGATCTTGAGTAGTTTTTAATTTCATTGGTGAAGAAGCACACATTGTTTTTGCTGCTGTTGTTGCTGTTCGCCTTCTATCCTTCACAGAGAGGTTCCAGTTGAAACCTTCCCCGTAGTTCAGAGAAAGAAAAGAGCTATGTGGACAACAGCAGGGAAACCTTTAAGGGAAGAGGCAAGGGCAGAGCCAGGCCTTGAAACATGGAGCAAGCTTTTACATATCTAGGAGAGGAGGATGAAACCAAGAGGTAGGATTGAGCACTGCATTCAAAAGAAAAAAAAATGAGGAAAAACCGGACTTACGAGTGCATGAAGACGCCTGAAGGGTATCTGAAGAAAGAAGAAATTGTGCTTGTGCCAGTGAAGAGTGCGTGTTACTAAGTTTGTGATAAATATCCTTGATCAAAGTACAAAGCGGAATGTCAGGGGCGCCTGGGTGACTCATTCAGATGAGCGGCTGGCTAACTCTTGGATTTTGGCTCAGGTCATGATCTCACAGTCCTGGGATTGAGCCCTGCCTTGGGCTCTGTGCTGGCAGGATGGAGCCTGCCTGGGATTCTCTCACTCCCTGCCCCTCACCCACTTGTGGTCTCTCTCAAAATAAATAAGACTTAAAAAAAGTTGGGGGGGGGGATATTATGGATAAAAATCAGAAACTCTCAAAAAATGTACCTTAAAAATTGTCCCTCTAATAGGGAGGAATTAAAGACTGGCAAGTTTTAGGAGAATGATGATGGCAATGCTTGAAGATACAGTTGCTCACCTTTGTTGCCCACATAGTTGCCTTCAGGCCTCTGAAATGATTTCTAATGCCTCTGTTGCAGAAAACTTTTGTTGCACTATCGACAGCAGCACAGCACTATCATTCTTTTATTGATTTATTGATTTACTGATTTATTTATGAGAGTGAGAGAGCGAGAGAGCATGAGCCAGGGGAGGGACAGAGAGAGAGAGGAAGACACAGAATCCGAAACAGGCTCCAGGCTCTGAGCTGTCAGCACACAGCCCAAAGTGGGGCTCAAACTTACAAACCATGAGAGCATGACCTGAGTGGAAGTTGGATGCTTAACCAACTGAGCCTCCCCCGGGCCCCCCCCCCCCCCCCCCCAGAGCACTAATCATTCTTAAGAATCAGGAAAAGCAGCAAGTCCAACAGAATCCCAAAATGCAACGACAAGATACATTTCTGCCTTTAGAGGGCACTGCTGTTTTCACAAAAGAAGGATGGCTTCAGTGTCTGCTTGGCTATGGGCTTCCAGTGGGCTTTTGCTTTAGATGCTGTTGTACTTGTTTTTCCTTCAGATCTAGGGATTTTCCTTGAAGACCTAGGGATAGACTTGGCAGTGGGAGTAGGGTTCACTTAAGCCCAAAGAAATTAGAAACAAGGAACATATTGCCCCATTCAGTCTCTTCCAATTTATTTTTTTTTTTAATTTTTTTTCAACGTTTTTATTTATTTTTGGGACAGAGAGAGACAGAGCATGAACGGGGGAGGGGCAGAGAGAGAGGGAGACACAGAATCGGAAACAGGCTCCAGGCTCTGAGCCATCAGCCCAGAGCCCGACGCGGGGCTCGAACTCACGGACCGCGAGATCGTGACCTGGCTGAAGTCGGACGCTTAACCGACTGCGCCACCCAGGCGCCCCATCAGTCTCTTCCAATTTAAAAACAACAGTAAGAACAAATGCCTTCCCGATTTTCCATCAATGGTTCCTATTCTTTCTCTCCGTGGGTAGTATGAAGGAGTTGACTCTCCTCTTGTCCATCTGCATGCTCGGCACACTGTAGTCTGGCTCTCCATCTCACCCCAGCACTCCTCCATATGGTTAATCTCAGCAGTCTATCTTTTGTCTCAATCTTTACTTGACGGTTCTCTACAGCATTTCATTCGATTCCTGAAACTCTGCCTTCTTGGCTTCTCCTATGCCAACTTCCCTGGGTTCTTTTGTTACCTCTCACCTTGCCTTTACAGGCCTTTTGCCTGGATTCACTTCCATGGTCTACTCCTTAATTGAATGCCCCAGAAATCTGTCTGACCGGTGCTTCTCAGCTCATTCGACCCACTCTCCAAGGGTGATCTCATCCACTCTCAAGGCTCCAACTCACCAGTCACAAATATGACTTCCATACCTATCTCTAGGCTTTGCTTCTCCTGATCCTCAATTTTCAACTTCACCTGGATGTCCCATAGTCCCCTCACACACAGCCTCTGCAAAACTGGACCCATAATCTCTCCCTCCCTACTCCCTAACCCCTACTGTTCTCACCAGCCCCTCCAAAATCCACACATTATCTCCTGGATTCCACAGTACAGTAAATGATATACCATTTTCCCACTCAAATCAGAAATCTAGAATCTTCTCCATTGTGCCATATTCAACCCATCACTGGGTCCTGACCACCTAAATTACTTTCACATTTGCCCCTACTCTCCTTGCCCACTGACAAAATTTCATTTCAGGGCCTCAGAACCTGTTGCCTTGAGGCAATACATTCTTTTTAAAGATTGAAATGTAGGGGCTCCTGGGTGGCTCAGTCAGTTAAGCTTTAAGCATCCAACTCATGGTATCAGCTCAGGTCATGATCTCACAGTTCGTGAGTTCAAGCTCCATATCAAGCTCTGTGTTGTCAGCACAGAGCCTGCTTGCAATTCTCTCCCTCCTGTGCGTGTGCGTGCACTCTCTCTCTCTCAAAATAAATAAATAACCTTAAAGAAAATAAAGATTGAAATGTATTCAAGTTTACATTTTATTGTTTGAGCAGGTATAATGTTTACTGGTTCACATTTACAACGAATTTAAAAGTCTCCCTCCCGTACCCCTAAGCTTCCTTCCCAGATGCAATCAATGTTATGAGCTTGTCCTGGATCCTTTCAGAGGCATTTTTACACACAAGGTAGCATCTTTTACACACTCTTCTGCATTTTGCCTTTTTCATGTCATGTATCTTTGAGATCTTTCCATGTTACCACATAAAGGGTTTCTTCATTCTTTTTGCTGCTTTTTACATTCTATTGTATAGATGCACTATAAGCTATTAAACTTCTAGGTCTTCCTATTTATGGATAGTTAAGGAGTTCCCAATCTTCTGCTATTGTAATAAAGGCTGTAAAGAACAACTTTGTACTTAGGTCAATTGACACAGGTGTTAACTGATCAATGAGCATATACTTTTAAAAATATGGGTACTAAAAAAACTTAAAATTACCTACACACCTCCTATCCTATTTCTATTGGTCGGCATTGACCCAGACACTTCCTCTGTCCCATCTCACCTCCTCCAAGACCAAGTGCCCCTCCCTCTGTGCTTCAGACCCAGGGATCCTAGTGCCTCAGATGCTCCCCACCCCTCACTCTTAATTAAGATTCTGCTTCCAACTTACTCTTGGAGGCCTTCAAAAGATTTTGCTTTTTTTTTTTTTTAAGATTTCTTTTTTCAACGTTTATTTATTTTTGGGACAGAGAGAGACAGAGCATGAACGGGGGAGGGGCAGAGAGAGAGGGAGACACAGAATCGGAAACAGGCTCCAGGCTCTGAGCCATCCAGAGCCTGACGCGGGGCTCGAACTCACGGACCGGGACCGCGAGATCGTGAGCTGGCTGAAGCCAGACGCTTAACCGACTGCGCCACCCAGGCGCCCCAGATTTTGCTTCTTTATTCACAAGTCCACCTTCCTTTCCCAGCCCCTGAGGTCAGGGCCTCTGCTCTCATCTTTATTTCCTGGTACGCAGGACATTACCCAGGTCGGTACTGTTAGCCAAATCGAGGCCTCAGGGTACAAAAGTCCCAAGGGCCACTCTAAAGGATAGAGTTGGAGGGAGATAACTGCAGACATGTCATAATGCAGGTAAACAAATTCAAATTTTAAAAGAAATGTAGGTACCTTTTACCCGAATTCACAATGTGAATTACATTTTCGCCGCAAATAATAGTAACAACAAGAAGAGTTAATAAAAGGAATCATAAACACAGGAGAAACTTAGTTTGACGTAGAGCCCTGCGCCGTCCCCATCCTCACAAGGGGACGCAGGGCCCTGGGAACCCGCTTCTGGAGCCCCCCCCCCACCCCGCCCGAGCCCGCAGGAGAGAAGCGGCAGCGCCCCCCAACCCCAGGCCGGCGGCGGGTCAGGGGCTGAGGGGCTTGGACCTACTCACCCGGCGGGCGGGCCACAGCAGGGAGGGCGGCCCAGAGAGGAGGGGGAACGACTCTGCAGAAACAGGGAGGGATTTCCGGAAAAGCGAAACTGAAACTTTGCGGCCCAGGGCGGCGGAGCGCGGCGCACTCGTGCCCCGGCCTAGACGCACCCCCGGAGCCCGACGACGCCGAGAGCCATGGCCTCGACCCTCCGTTCTCCGTCCCCGCTGCTGGTGAGGGTGTCCGAGTCCAGCCCCCGAACACGCTTGAAGCTGGGAATCTACTTCCAGAGCCAGAACTCTGGCGGCGGGGAGTGCACCGTCCAGCCCCTCGACCCCAGGGACCAGGTCACCTTCCAGGTGACGTTCATGGAAAGGGAAGGTGAGCATCGGGCCGCTGCGGGTGCAAAGGGACCCGGCCCTGAGGGATTCCAAGCAGACCCAGGTCAAGGTGACGTAGGAGACAGAGGGCGGGAGAAAGCACAGCACCGGGTCGTGAGCACGGGGTGAAGGTGCACACAGGAATTGTGTCTTTCCACAAAGGGTCAGCTTTATTCGGCATATATATAGCAAAGTTGACCACAATTATAAAGCAGGTTCAGGATTCCACACTCAGTGACATTTCACCATGTGATTAAACTTCACTTCTTACACAGCACACGGAGCGGGACAGAAGACAAGCCACACAACAAAGTAACAGAAGGGTGTAGGAAGTTAACGAACTAAAAGGTGAAATCAGTCTGTGAGCGCGCAGTTGAGATAAGGCCTCTCTCTTGTTGGGGTCAGCTCTCAGCACTTACTGCTTATTATTTTCAAGCGGTGAAGGATCTCAGCTCTCTTCGTAGATCAGTCGGGCAGGACCTTCCTCTGCAGCTGCCTTTTTTTAAGTGGTCTGACATAGAGAGGTCATGTCTGAAGAGTCTGACAGTTTGCTGCAAAAATCCCCTCCTGCTTTTTAAAGGGATTTAATTGGTCTTGGGCCCCTGCCCACCTCCTCTGCTTCTGCTTGTTATCAGTTCTGGGGTGTCAGCTGATGCTGGGCCCAGCGATGTCTCTTAGCTGCAGTACCTTTAACTACTTGTGTCATTGCTTGACCCAGGCCCCTGTTTGACATAAGAGACTCCGTTTTGCTTGCTACACACTGTCTGGTGGGGAGAGGAATGGTGGGGGAGGGCCTCTTGCTGCCCAAAGATGCAACCCAACAGGGAGACGAGAGCCCAGTAGTGCCCAGTTGGTTGGTGATCTGATCTGACTGCATTTTTTTTAATTAATCAATTAATTTATGAGAGAGACAGAGACAACATGAGCAGGGGAGGGGCAGAGGGAGGGGCAGAGGAAGGGGAGAGAGAGAATCCCAAGCAGGCTCTGTGCTGTCAGCACA